CCCCACACCCACACCCACCCACACACCCACACCCACCTGCACCCACACCCACCCACACCCACACCCACCCACACCCACACCCCACACCCACACCTACACCCTTAATATACTATCAGACAATAGAAAATATCATATTAAAATAGACTTTTGAAAAAAACAAAAGCATATCGACGACAACTGAACATTACAATGTCTGAATGATATCAAATGGGATCAACATATATTCATTAATATAATATTTTCTATTTTTTTCCTCTTTGTTTTAATCAAACAATACGATCAAATTTATTGTACTACAAATAAGGATTGTAAAAGAATAACAATACTATGGTCATTTTCTTTGGCAACTAATTATAATACGTGTTCAATGCATTCTTTCTGGATAGTTTTGTCTATTATTAATTAGCTAGCTATTCGACTTAATTTAGAAAGAACCAGATTTTTCGATACTGTTGCCAAGATATCCATCTAATAGGATAAATAGAAATTGTTTGATCGAGGAGAAGAAGCACGTACTCTCTCCGATAGATTTGCTTTTTACATGAATCAATAGAATCTTAATCAACAGAGATATAATTTTCTAAGAGTAATCACAATTCAAGTCATTTATGCATTTTAAGAATATGTTTTTTTTTCTAAAGATCGACATATTATTATTTACTCTAAAAAACGAAAAACTGAGGAATAAAAAATGGATCAGTTATCATTCGTGTATGAGCTTTTCATGAAGGTTCTATCAAACGGCAAAAAGCAATTGTATCAAAACATGGAAACTGAGGATGAAAAGAAATTGAAGTACCAGTTTTATCTACTTAAACTCTTTTGCATGTATTAGCCATTATTGCAACTATCTATAAGTTCACATTTCAAAAACGACTCATTCGATGAAATAGTTGCTTAATCATATTCATCAGACCTTCTTTAATAACAAAATTGGAACAAATATCTAACAAAAATCGTTTCCACAAAGAGCGACATCTAAACTGATTTCAGAATGATGATTCAGACCTACCTTTCATTTTTTCAATTTTTTCCACATAACAAAGAAAAAAAATAAGGGTTTTTTCGTTCTCTTTTCATTTTATCCAAGATAAAAAGTAATTGATTTCCAACATGCGGATACTGTTACTCATATTATTCGACAACATACACAATCATACTTCCCAACGAGGTCAAACAGACTAGACGAATTAAAACTGAATTAAGAGATATGATTGGTGTTTCTACTTAGCAACACCAATCAAATCTCTTAATTCAGTTTTAATTCGTCTAGTCTGTTTGGACCAAACATAGAATATTATTGCATCAATGTCAAACAATACAATTCCATCGATGGAAGCATTACCAGTGGAATTACTTCATCGCATTTTTGATAATCTTGATACACAAACAATCGTATTTTCAGTTCGACCTGTATGTCGATTCCTTCGATCAGTTGTCAAAACTTATGATCGACATATTTTGGATTTGAAATTAATTTCAAAATTAAATTTTTATACTCTCTGTCGATTAATTCATCCACAGAATGTTATATCATTAATACTTTCAAATGATGAATTAACATCAAATCAAATAGATTTGTTTATTTCGCTTGTTCGGCTTCGTCAATTAACTCGACTTCGTTCTTTAGCTCTTCTTAATATCGATGAATTACAATTAAACGTCATTTTGAAACGCATCAATCTTACTATACTTACTTTCTTCTCATGTACTATTAGAAAATATGATGATAGACGTAGAAAAACAACGAACGAACTTCTCACATCAATCATCGCTCAATCATCTTTGGAAAAAATTGAATTCGATATTAAATCTGAGAGAATGCTACAGATTTCATGGCCAATCAATTGCACTATTCAATATTTAACTATCAACGAAAGCATAACTAAAGATAATCTTTTTACAATCCTTCAATGTTCTTCTTATTTACATACAATCATTTTGAAAGAGAGTTGTAATAAGATTATAAATAATATTACTGTACCATTTTCTCCTCCACAATATTTCCGACAATTGAGATCGTTAACGATGGAGAAACTTGATGTAAACATTGATAAACTGGAATCATTTCTATTATTAACACCATCACTTGTTTATTTAAAACTCATTGATGGAAAACATATGCTTGATGGCAAACGATGGGAACAATTCATTGAAATAAATCTGCCTCATTTAGACAAATTTGAATTTTATTTTGTCGAATGTAGTTCGATTAAAAAGACTGAAGCAGATCTGGAGCTAATTATTGCTTCATTTCGAACATCATTTTGGATTGAACATAAAAAATGGTTTGTTAGTTGTGACTGTGATATGAATTTCTCAAATACTATTTATCTCTATTCATTACCAATATGCAAATCTTTTCTCATATACGAAGTGAAGTCACAAAAACTTTCTTTATCTAATTATAATACAACGAGAGACAATCATCGATCAATAATGAGTAATGTCAATTCACTACAATTATTTTTGGAAAAACCATTACCTGATCACGTTCAAGAAAAAGTATGTTATTTAACTGGTGTTATGTATTGAGATAGATACAGTCCGATATACTGAGTATTAATCTTTCGTGTTGTAACCATCTCATATTGAAGGTACCCAGTCAAGTGAATAATGAAGAAATGGGCATTAAAATGCCTTAGTACTTGTAGTTAGACCATTTCGACCATTAAAATTCATCTTTTTAAATAAATAATGGTGAAATGGCCATTAAAACGAATAATAATTCCTTAGTAAATAATTTTAGCCATTTCACAATTAAGGACTCTGTTTTTTCGAAGATTCAAACTGATTTTTAAAATGTTTATAGCTTCAAAAATTTATGTGGATTATTAATGTTTGCTTATGACATGTTTTTTTTTGGGAAATACTCAAAAGCATTCCTGTAAACTTAACAGTTTCAACGTCTATTGAAGTATGCGACTCTGATAAAATTACACTTAATAACGGCCGAAGAACTATTTTTTGTATGATACTGATAGCCGGCTTGCAATTCTCGAATCGAAAAGGATCTTTTCTTTATAATACTTCTAAACTTATAAGTTTTTCGATAAATATTGAATGTCTGTAATTGACAGTGTCATCATTTTTTTTCGAAAGAAGATAGATCGCATTTATTTTGGAGATAAGCTGTATATCTTAGGTGACTAGTCTAACCTTGTTTCTTCTCTCTCAAAATAAACAATTCGGATTCAGAGGTGCTAAAATAGTGCAAAGGACCTATCGAAATATCAGCGCATAATCATTTAAGAAGTCAAATTTCCTGTATATTACAGGAAAAAACTTGAATTTAATTAAAATTTGATATCAACAAAACCAAAGTAGATATCTCTGGTAAAATGAAGTTGAATGATTAAAATTTAGGCACAAAATTATTTTTTCCAATGTGAATCACATTATGATGTAAACAACAAAAAGATATCATATTCTGTTGAAATCAAGTGTGGTCTTTATTATTCATGTTGTTATTTTGGTTTGTTCGACTAAAGTGATCGCATAAATCGAAGTAGACAGATTTTATTTTATGCGATGAAGTCTTCGTAAAAAACAGCCTGCGTAATTTACCTCGCATTAATCTAACACTATAGAAAATTACACAAAACTGGTTTTTCAAATGACATTGTAAAAAACGCTCTCGAATTTTATATGATATCGTTCATAATAACGAATACTTAGAAATATTTATATAAACTTATTGATTTATTTGACTTTTTTTTACAAAATTTTTCGTTAATTAAAAAAAATATATTTAGTTCTTTCTATAGTGATATTTCTATACTAGTTGATCATTTAAATATTTTGTGCACACTATTACAGTGTTTTCTGTAATAATATAATACACATCTTTGTATACATCGCTAATTGACACGTCAGGTCTGACTATAATACAGTATTCTCTTTTCTTACTCTACTCTCTTTAAAAAAATATTCATGTACTGATGGTAACATTCTCATGTTCTATTTTTTTCTCCATCCTTATAGAATTACCAATAGTCTAATAAATTGCAAAGAAAAGCGAATCGTCAAAAACATGTGTGGAAACGTAGGGGGAATAGCGACGTTGACCGTGTAATTAGTGACTTTTCATTGCATATTTAAATATATATCTAGTATAAATTTGGTTTAATCGATCTACTTTCGTGCACGATTCAGTTATTTTCTTTAACATTCATATTGTTTTTATGAAGAACAGTACTTAAGAACAAGAAATCGATAGAAATATGTGCATGTGTACTGACTACTGTTCGTGTATTCAGACACATTGCGTAACTAATATATATGCGTCTATGTTCACTTCTAAGTTAATTCAAGTAAAGCTATTTTAAATGGTTAGATCAAAGTAACACTTTAGATCAATCACAATTTTTTCTCACTAAGCTGTTATCACATTTCATCTGGCAATTGTTGAAAATAGTAGCTAAATCATAGAGATATATTTTGAGTAATAAATGAAAAATCGAAACTTGTAGCCTATCTTATTAATTTTTATAAATAAGAAACGATACACAGTGTGAATAGAGAACAAGTATTATCGTACAGGTATCAGAATTTTTTTATTTGAATTACGTATTTAATTATCTAAATATCTAATAATATCATATCGATTCGATCTGTTTAACATTACTTATTCATCTCACTACTATTCTGTCGCGATATTCAACTATATCTGATTGGTTGATTTTTATTGGTCCAATATAGTCTTTGTCTCAGAAAATAGAACAATGCTATAACCAGTGTTTCTAACAGCAAGGGTCAGCCTTTGTTACAAAGTGTCCAAGATCCTTGCGATATTCGATTGACACTGTGTTTGACACTTTGCTGATGACAACAAAGTGTCAAGTCGACTCTTGTTGAGAATAATTTATACTTTGCTGCTCGTCGAAAACATATCCCTATCCCAACTTCTGAATTTTGTGATTAATATTGATGTATTCATTATGCTGACATTTTTTAGTTAGTATTTGGATTTATTGGAACGTTTCTCTACATTTCAATTATTGTTATTCTTTTATACTTGACAGAACCTTTAAAGTAACTTATGCGAATGTTTGTCTAATCACTATTGATCGAGACAAGTATAAACCGCAGTAATGTAACTAATAGATGTATTTGGATTTTAGTAGGGGATACTAGTTTATTTTATACATATCGTCCTCACCCATAAACAATATTCTGTACACAGAATATATATATGCTTTTCATGTTTTAAGTAAACTAAATAGTATCCATTTTTATCTATTTTTTGTTTTATCTCGTCTATTAAATATTAGATAAAAGAATTTTTCATCGAACGCTATTAATTACTAAAAGCTGTATATTTTCTATTCGATCTTACACAGGCATGTGAGAGAAGCGCCTCAATCAGGTGTGGTACTTTAGCTTTACTTTGAAGTTAACGTAATTTTTTTCTGAAATTCTTCTTGTAAACAAATTATTCTTTCACAAGAGAAAATCTATGTGAAACTTCGTAAAAAATAGTCTTTAAAAAATAACTTACCCTGAAACAGATAAACAGATACCTTCTTTTCTCAAAAAATGATCTCTGGAAAAGTTTGCTTTCACATCAGTATTTTCAGAGTTAAACTGGCTCTCCTAGCTTGGATGTCTCAAGCTATAGGCGAAGTATGGGGAGATCAACAACTCAGGGCCACAATCGGAAGGCTCCTGAATTCAACAGATAACGTAGATTACAGTGGCCTTTTGAAAATTAGTAAACAAAAATCTGAATAAAACGCTGAAGAATTCGCTTGGCAAAAACGCAAATTTCACAAGAGCGGGATGTGAACCTCTCTGTCAGTCGAATACCTGTAACAAATTTATATTAAATATTTCTTTTTCTTTAATCCAATTCTAACACAGCACTTTGGAAACTTTGTGACACTCTGTTTAAAAAAACAAAGTGTCATTTTACACTTTGATTGCAAATATAAAGTGTCATTGGACTTTTTGTTTCAGATTTCTATTAGAAACGCTGGCTATAACTATAAAAGGAAGAAAAGAGAACGAGTCCAATTCATTTTAAAGATTGATACGTCAGTTGTAACATATCGCCATATTCATATCCGACATGATAAGGAACACTGTTGGCAAGTTTAAATAGTACTAACTAAGAAATTTACCTTTTCATTGATAATATTTGAGACTTTTGTGAACCTTTCCTCTGCGCAAGATGTTTATTTAGACATCTTAGGTTATTCGTAAAATGTAATAGGGCAATCGATCGCCACTCATAATCTTCTGTATGTTACAGAATAAGATAAATGACACTCAATATCTTTTAATTTAAGTAGAAAGATCATTGAATCGGATATTTTTATGACTAACATGGTAGTATACATTGAATATTGACATGTGCTATATATGATATAAACATATGATCTAATCCTCAGTGTTGTTCCATTTAAAGTGAGAAAAATAGCTATGTTATTCATTTGGATCAGCTTTAATATTCTTCTAATTTTAAATCACTTCCTAGAATTTTTGCTGTATTTACCTTCCACACAATCATCATAGTATACTAAGTGTGTCGAAGTAAACACAAAATTACAGCACGATTCAATCGTTAAAAAAAGATTAAACTGAGTTTTTTGTGTGAATAATACAGATTCTGATAGAGAAAGAGTAATATAAATAATTAGTCAAAAAGGTCAGCAATAATAAATTTGAGATATTTAAATACTGTTCGACAAGTTTATTTCAATTTTAATTATTTATTACAATTTAAGTGACGCTTTTTTCTTCGAAGATGCTCTTTTCAATGTATCATAAAAATCCTACAAATAAATTAATCACGAAAACAAAACAAAATGGAAGAAAAATAGAACAGGCTATATATTTCCTTGAGTCCAATTTCATAGTGGTACAGAAACCAAGACGGTTATAATACCGACCAGGTAGGCTCGGATCTTTTACATACCACTATGAAATTAGCCTAAAAGAAATATATAACCCGTTCTATTTTTCTTCCATTTTGTTTTGTTTTCGTGATTAATTTATTTGTACTGTTTTTATGAAACATTGAAAAGATCATCTTCGACGAAGAAAGAAGCGTTACTAAAATTGTAATAAATAATTAAAATTGAAATAAATTTGTCGAACAGTATTTAACTATCTTAAATTTATCGATAACTTTCCTATCAACAAAATAGGTCAGAAATAATGCAAAAAATGATTTGTGTTGTTAACATTATTTTTTTATCTTTTTTAACCATTTTTACTTAATCAGAAGTAACTATTTTAATGCATCACATGGAAAGCATTTTCGGCCATTTTTTGTGACCGTTTTACATCATTATAATTATGTATATTTTTAAGCATTTTAATATCATTTTACCATTTTGTTCCCTGCCTGGGTAGATTAGAAGAATCAGTTTAATTCAAGTTGAGTAGAATATTGTAAAATTACGCAATGACAACCTGCGGAACAGTTGCGTCTTAACCAGTGATGAAATATTTCAATATAGGTCCTAAACTAACAAGTAGAGGAACAGAATCAGAAATTGAAATATCGAACAAATTATGTTTTATATTATAAAGACATGCATTCATGTTGAGACAGGTACAACATCACTGTTGCATCCCTGTATTCAAAAGATTATTTATGTCATCTAAATCTAAAATCATATCTATGTTTGACTACTTTTAGAAAACAACCGCAACTCATCCATTGTTTCCTAAAGTGACCGAAATTGATCTTCAAATCCAGAATGATTGGTCTTTGTTTTCGCTACAATCACTTTCCATGTTCATTGATATTCCACGAATAGTTCAAATGAAATTGAATACATTTTATTTTAAACTATACGATCAAAATTTATTAATGGATATTGGACTTTTTATGCAACAAGCTCTCAATCTTTCCTCACTGATCATCCATGCATTCTTTTTTCGAGACAAATCAACTAAAATTATAGAACATATCCATTCCATAATCCCAAATAATGTGAAACATTTACAAATCCCAATAAATAATTTAGATCAAATAAAAAAAATTCTCGAACGATCTCAAAATCTGTCAACAATCAAATTTGACATTCCATATTCAAAATTCTCTATAGAAGTGGTCAAATGGTTTGCTGATAACACCATTGATTCAACATGTCAGAAAGATTATAAAACAGTTGGTGTATGGCTTGGAAAGAAAAATATTCAACCAATTGAAATCGAACTCGACAATAAACGAATTAAATTACATGATAATCGTTCAGACTCTTAATTGTTCGTCCGATCAAATTTCAATAGCTAAAAATCTCAATTATGATTTAACCTTGAGTTTTATACTTTCGTATAACATGGCTTACTTTTGAATAAATTACTTCTTTACTTTTAATTTTATATATTACAAGAATGAAGTTATTTTAGTCCAGATTCAAACACCTCACTGATGAATGGTAGATAGAAGTCTAGCGACAAGCATCATTGAAGGAATTCAAAGGTTAATCATAGAAATAGTTAACTAATTGCCTTAATTACTGATAAAGTTGAGTCAAAATATGCATATTGACTAGAAAAACTTCTATTTTTAATTCATCATTACCAATAACAGATGATAGGAGAAACATGCTTTACAGAGCCCGAAACGAAGCAAGTTTTTATCGCATCGTCTCGACTCGCTTAGCCTCGTGTCCAGTTTTCAAAAGACTTCCTCGACTCGCCTCGCCTCGTGAGGCTTCTGTCTCGGTTCGCTTCGGACAAATCGTAATAACCACGATAGGGTACCAATTTTTCAATTTCTTCTATCCAAAACCGCATGGAAAATTAATATATTTACTTCTGACCCCGCTTTATTTCCTCGCAAGTCAACAATAGCTACCATTCATTTAACACATTCGAGGCGATGTCGCCCACCGGTGGGCGACGCTATAGTTTAACGAGAAACTGTATAGAAAAGCACTTTCTTTTGCTTTTTTCTTAAGCAGGAGGTTAAACATAAGATGTCATTTCTTCTGTTTTCAGTACTTTATCTGAATCCTTTATTCCATAGCATAATGTTTATCATTAAAACACTCAAGACAAAAAATTTTATCATAGTCAGAACAGAAAGTTTTTACTTTCTTTGCTGCCGCATTGCTCGCTTCTCTTGACTGTTGGGCCCTTCCCTTCGCATAGCAGCCAGTACAGCGTCTGTCGACATTGTGCATGGATCCTTCCTTTTCTTCGAGCTTGTGATCGGCGAAATAGTCAAGAGAAGCGAGCAATGCGGCAGCAAAGAAAATAAAAGCCTTCTGTTCTGACTGATAATGTAGAAAGCTGCAGCAAAAATAAGTTGACACAGAAACCTTATAATAACCTGCAGGGGATGTGGGTGTGGGTGGGAGAGAGCTCTTCAGTTACACCCACACCCCACAATCACGGTTCCCGTTCGTGCGGTTAAACGCGTTAATTGAAAAATCTTGAGGGTGTGGGTAAAGGAAAGATCTATACCTATGCCGACATCCACATTCCACTCATACCCACACCCTGTACAGTGATGATCTTAGTGATATATTGTGGCCGAGACAAGAGAAACTTACCAAATGATTATGTCATCTACCATCAGCCGAGTTCTTATATACACATTCGTAGAACTTCGATGTTCGATCGAGCTTGGCTGGTATCGATGATAGGTACATGTCTACCTAATTTTCTAATTTTTCTTTCTATTGTCGACGATATAGCCGTTTTTGATGTCATTGTTCCGAAAGTAATCTATAAAATATTTGTTCTTTTAAGAATCTTTTGGATAGTTTCACTTTTGATGACTATATGACATCCTGCACAAATTTCTGAGAATGACTTCTGTCCATGCACATACAAGTTGTACGATCTTCCAAAGATATGTTAGACTTGATCTCAAATACAATAGCACATAGAATGAAGTCTTGACGTTTTGTATATTATCGTCTTCAAGATAAAAACAAGGAGAAAGAAAAATTTGTTATTCTCATGCTGAGATATAATTCAATGTATGATAATCAAATAACCAATCATTAGAAACCTATTTTTGCTCGTTTTTTGTATCAAACTACGACGTACTATCTAAATTTGAGAATTACTTTTGGATGTTTCTAAGCTGAAAAGTACAAAAATACATTTGTCGGTACACAACACGAAAATAGAACTGTTTCAGAGCGGTGTCTCAACAAAAATATTGCTGTCAATACTTTGAAGTGCCAGCATTGACTCGATGGTTGCCTTAGAAATATGTAACCAAATGAATCGCCTAGAATCATATTCCATATTGATAAAAGACACCAATATGAAAAAAAAACATTTTTTTACTTATCAGAGAACAGAACATTTACTTTTTACAATCTTTTCTGTTCCTATTTATAACAGAAAGCAACACAATTCGAATCTCAATGTCATACTAGCTTCATAAAGGAGAGATCTTGATGGCAACCAATCTATGATTCATCCTCTTACATACCATCGACATCGTGGAATAGAATAAGAAAAATAACATGATTAAATAAATAGTTACATGCCGATGTTTTCTTTGCTCAGCTGCTTGACTACTATTGTCACTATTGTTTTGTCGGAGAAAATTCATAATAAAGAAGTCACACTAACACATATATTATTTACTTTATTGAGGTACCCTGTGTGCCAATCAACTGTGAATATGGGGGTATACTTTTTACTCGTATTTACATTTACAGTGTGCACCATCTTTAGAGAATAAATATCATTTCATGAATTATAAGCGCCACTGATAGCATGTTAATTAAAGTATCATTAATATATCCTCATTAAGTCGGTCACACGTAAACCCAAGCTAAAACTGCATGTTGAACATCGATAATTCTAAAAGAATGGGACCCAAACTCACAAAGAGCAAAGATGGGTGTAGGTGTAGATGGGAGTATGGAAGAAGAAAAGACTCACACACACATCCACACTCAGATGCCATTGAAAGTAAATCTTTTAGACACTTTTCGGCAGGGTAAAATATTTCATTTGAACAACACTATTTTACATTATCGATTTACATAATGGATCGCCCTGCTATGACTGATAATACAGCCTGCCTTTGCAAAAAGCACCTCAACAACAAAAAAATTAATATTTTGATTATGCTAATTATACTAATATTCTTTTTCTGTGTACAATATATTATACAGAAACTACACATGTGAGTGTTCATTCTCATTTATCCTGCTTGATTGTGATATAGTTAAGAAATGTTTAGTCAATAATAAAATGAAATTACAACACTGCTTGAAGCAGAGGGTACGGGGTGTGGTTGCGGGTATCAGTATGAATCTTATTGTCAGGCTACAGAAGATCCACGCCCACACCCATACCCACCCTTCGTTTCTAGATGACAACAGACAAAAAAAACGACGCTTGTTGTTTTTACGTTCTGTTCTACCGACTACTTGGTTTTTTCCAATTTACGTCGCAATTATTAAGAGAACAAAGCAAAGAAAAACACTTTTATCATTTATACCAAGAAAGAAGAACGGTAAAAAAAAGTAAAAACTTTCTCGTTCGTTTCTTTTTATAAAGCAAATATCGAAAATAGCACATTGATAAACAAAATCCAATAACCAAACACCCAATAAGACATATAATTCATCTTCTCAAAATTCACAATCAGATCCAAATTCATTTCGAATACCAGTACCTTCCATTTAAATACAATTTGCAAGTGACAATAGCTAGTGATTATTAACTACAAACACAAGCAAAAATATCGACATATTCATTGCCTTCGACCTTCATCGAAGTAATACGTACATCTCATAATACTAAATCTTCAACACCACCGTCACACTCTGCAGCTCTTCCTAATAAAATGACAAAACCTAGTCAGTATATACCCTATCTACCGCCAGCACAGCCAATTGATTTAAGTACATTTAAAGGTTTTAAATTCGTTACACTTGATGGCTTAGTGGTAGAAACACGTGATATTGATGATGATGTTAGTGGTACATTTGAATGGGAGATGTGTGCAGGTCAAGAAGATCGATGTATGCAATTTATTCGGGAGAAATGTGTTAATAAACGAACATTCTTGATTACCTCTGGTGGACTTGGAAAAAATGTTGTACCTCATATTCATGATTTACCACAACTTTATGCAATTTATGTTTATTGTCAAGATATTGCAGGTCATCAACAATGGGCATCTAAATTTTCAAAAGTACGTATTGTTTGCAATGATGATAGAGTCTTACATCCTCAACTTGCCGTCGATGTGGCACAAGCCAATATTGATTGGGGAGATGCACTTCTCAATGCAGGTAAACGTGATGAAGCTAGGGCGAAATTCCAAAAAGCATTGGACAATTTAACCAAACATGCTAAATTTTCTGATCAAGCTTTCCTGAATCAAGTTCAAAAAAAATTAGCTGAATGCAATTAAATTGATTTATCAATGAACTATGTTTATGTTTTATTGCAAAAGAACTTTGCGAATTTTTCTTGTTGTTCTTA